ATTGTTTCTATCACCAAGGCCTTATTTTCCAGCTACCGATCCTTCCTTTTTGTTTCCAACTTTCACATTCCAATCACCAGTAATTTTCAATGCACCTTAACTGTTTGATCAATTTCAGACTGAAGAAGTTGGTAGAACTCTAATTTCCTCATCATTGGCTTTAGTGATTGGTGTGTAAATTTGAATAGTGGTATTAACTCATCTTCATAAGTATATGGATATTATCCTATCAAAGAAAGCATTGTACTTCAAGATTGTTGTTTTTGCTGTTAAGTGCTGTCTAGTTGGTTCCAATTCATTGCGATCCTGTATAGGGTTTCCGAGGAATAGCTGGTGAAGTTGAACTGCCGACCTTGCCGTTCAAACCAACCTTGGGGTCCAGTGTATTATCCCACAGTGCCACACCAGGACACCTGAAATTCTCTTTTTGATGATGAATGCTGCCCATTCCTCTTCTGTCTGTTGTGTGTGGCACAGTAAGCCATATGATGGTACACTTCAAAATGGCCAAACCAGTCCATTTCAATTCACTAATGCTTAGGTTATAGATCATTATGTGTTCCATTTAACTTTTGATGACTTACTTTCCTAGATTCATATTTTGTAAATTCCAAGTTCTGATTATTAATGAATGTTTCAGTTGTTTCTTCTCATTTTGAGTTGTAACCCATCAACAAATGGTGGTCTCAAAAGCTTGGCACCATCCACATCATTAGAGTTAATTCTACTTGGAGGAGGCAGCTCTTCCCTAGTCCTATTGTGAATGCTTCCAATCTAAGAGCCTCATCTTTTGGCACTATATGAGATAAGGTTCCACTACTTTTCGTAAGTTTTTCAGTGGTTAACCATTCAGAAATCATCTGCCTTTCCTTCTTTTTAGTCTGGAAGCTCTACTGAAGCCGATCCACCATGGTGACCCTTCTGTTTATTTGAAATACTGGTAGCACAGTTTCCAGCATCACACAAGTTATGGTGAAGCATGCACTTGGTTTTGTTAAGTGCTGTTGATTTTGTTCCTATTCATAGCCACCTTGTATAGGGTTTCCAAGAAATGGCTGGTGGGTTTGAAACATTGACCTTGTGGTTAGCATTTCAGTGCTTATCCTACAGCACCACACCAGGAGTCTGGAGTAGGCACTTGTTGTTATTGTTAAGTGCCTTTGAGTCAGTTCCAACTCACAGCCACTCTGTTTAGTGTTTCCAAGGAGCGGCTGGTGAGTTTGAACTGCTGACCTTCTGGTCCAGAACATTAACCCACAGCATGAGTAAGTGCTAAATGCCTTTTGAAATGGATTTATTGACTAGATTAGCCTAAACCACTCTGAATGCTTAATAGTAGGTAATATTTGGGCATATTATAGTGACCATTCTTCGAGGCCTAGTTTTTTAGCACATTTGAATTTGTTGCTACAGTCAGAATCCACACACACAAACAGAACCGTATAGTGACTGGCAATCCAACATTAATGAAAGAAAATTCGTGGTACGGGAGGGGACAACTGTGGGAGGTACATTCTTAGGTAGGCAAGAACGGAATCGAGCATAAATGATGGGATCTAGTATACTCATGTGGTGCTGTGGGTTAATGCACCAGACTGCAAAGTCGTTTGAACTGCAAGGTTGGCGATTCAAGCTCACCAGCTGCTCCTTGGAAACCCTACACAGGGTCGCTATGCGTTGGAATCGACTCGATGGCACTTAACAACAACAGTATACTGATGAAAGAAGTCTTAAATAGGGACTTACACAAGCTATACAATTTACTAATTATTTTATTGTCCCTCCCCACATTAAAGTTTAAGTTCTACAAGGACAGAGATTTTTGTCTGTTTTTGTGCACTGCTCACATAACAAGCTCACATAGTTTTTGAGCAACTAACACATAACGAGCATGCAATCATTTTGTTAAGGAATGACGTGGGTTCAAAAGAGAATGGGAGGAGAAAGTGGAGAAAACAGAACTGTAGATAGCTATTTTGAAAAGTGTTCCCATAACTGTTATTGTTGTTAAGTGCCATCGCGTGGATTCTGACCAATAGCGACCCTGTATAGGGTTTCCAAGGAGCAGCTGGTGAGCTTAAACCACCGACCTTGCAGTTCAAACGACTTTGCAGTCTGATGTATTAGCCCACAGCGTCACACCAGGAGTCTGTTCTTATAATGGATTTAGAGAAATACGCCAGAAGCTGGAAGGGGATTTGCTTTTTTTTTGAAGTACAGGAATATCACAGCAGTGCTAATAGGAATGATTCGGTAATGCAGGAAAATCTGATGATACATGAAATAGGATAATGCAGGACGTAACGCAGTGAATAGAAGAAAAGGAATACTCTAGAGTTAGAGTTAGGGGACTTTCTCAAATAGGAGCTTAGCTACTTCATCATTCCAACAGTGGAGGCGGAGTGTATGGATGTCTATGCAGGGGCAAACAGAAATGGCAAATGAGAGCAAGTGAGGTTCTGCTCAGACTGTTTCTATTTTCTCACTGATCTAAAAATCAAGTTCATCAGCTGAAAGTTGTTATGTGCCGTGGAGTCGATTCCGACTCACAGCAACCCTGTACAGGGTTTCCAAGGCTGTAAACCTTTAAGGGAGCAGAAAGCCTCATCTTTCTTCCACAGAACAGATGGTATTTTCGAACTGCTGACCCTGAAGTTTAGCAGCTTGATTCATAACCACTACGTTACCAGAGGTCCTTCAGCTGAAAATAAAGTAGGACACATTGGAAGTCTGGAGGGGTGGAAGGAATTGCCTTGTTATTAAGAACGGTCAAATGGCTTCTGACTCATAGAGACCCTGTATAGAGTTTTTGAGGAGCATCTGGTGGGCTTGAACTGCCAACCTTGTGGTTCGAAGTCCAGTGCTTATCCTACAGCACTACACCTGAAGCAAGTTAAAAGTGATTAAAAACCTAGTTCGATTGTTGTTGTTAAGAACCATCGAATCGTTTCCAACCCATAGCGACTCTGTATAGGGTTTCCAAGGAGCAACTGGTGGGTTTGAACTGCCAACCCTGCAGTTCAAGCTAACCTGTGGTCCAGTGCTTATCCTATAGCGCCACACAGGGGCTCCAGTTTAGGTTAGTAGGCATGAACTAAAGGAGAAACAACTCACCACGGTTCTGTTTTTTTCCAATCACTTTCAGCTGCCCTGGGTGCAGAAGAATAAAATGAAAGATGGATTTCACCAGAGTGGTTGACAGGTTAGTGTGAAGCAAAGGGAAAGGGAGAGGAACAATGGACTATGAAATCAGGGATGGAAAAGGAGGGACAAGCACATGCAAAGTATGACAGTATGAGGCGGTAAAATCAATGGATTATAAATCCTCGTAAGGTCGGAGGGTTGTGAGCTTACTTTTTCAGTTACTCCTCAAAAATCAAGATCAAGATTATGGAAGTGAGCAGCTAAATCGGCTTTTCCTTCCCCTCAATCTTCTCTCAGGGAAGCTGGGACCAAACCACTTTAGATCCCTAAACACAATCCACTCCGTCCCCTTTGTCAGGAGATGCTTGATAGAAGCGAAGAGTGACATTCCCAGTGGCTTTTCCCTCCCCCTCACCCGAAGTTTAGGGCCGGGCTATCCCAGCGGGAGGCTCCTCCCAAACTCACTGTTTGGACCGGAGCTGAGCGTCGCTAACCGCCGGCGAAGAACTTCTTTCCATTCCATGGCCGCAGCTCCTGCATTTGCTGTTTACTAACTGCTCCACCCCTCGACTAGGTCAGACGTCAGAGGCCTCCAGACACCCGAAAGGGTCGGGATAGCGCTCAATCGGCCATCTTGGGCATGGGCGGAAGTCTGTTAAAGAATTAAAACGTGATTACTGTAGCCGCAGCGGAGAATACTACGATTACGCTAAAAGCGGAAATATAAATGGAAAGTGACCCATCATAAGGAAGCCTCCCAACTTCATCTATCTCGATTTTAATGGCACAGGATAAGGAAGCCCGCGCTTTTTTTTTTTTTTTTTTTGGTCTCGGTTCATTGGCGCGTCAGCCCCACATGACTCTGGAGTCCATAGAAGTTTCCGGCTCATGGGAAGCCCTTTTTTCCTTCATAATTTCTTTATATTACTCATTGCGGATATATGGAGACCCTAAATGTAGCCTGAATCTTGTACTTGCTTTCAGCAGACGCTGCCTGCCACGAAAAGCCCCAAATCACCTTTTTCTCTACTCCAGGCCTAGAGGAATCCCAGGGTGCACCTTGGTAGGACTTTGCGAGCGAAGGCTGGCGCGGTGCATTGTGGACGCTGTAGTTTTCGCCGCGTTTATGGCTGCGTTAACGTGAGTTCTATGGTGAGTTGTTGAATGAAGTGAATTTCATTTGTGAGCCACCGTAGGCAGGCAAGACTGTACCCCCGGTGGACCTCCGTTCCTTACCTGAGTTGTTGACTCTGCTAACCCTGCTCCCTACCCCTGTTTGATAGTTTTGAGCCCCGGGGAGGATTGCTTTGCTTGGTGAGAGCCCCCTTAGGCTTTGATTTTCGCCGCTGTCTTTCCTGCTGGCGGATCTGAGTTCTGGGTTTGGGAAGTATTGGTCGCTATTTTCGACTTTAGGCTCAGTTTCGGCCCAGCTGTCATGTGATATCCTGCTCTTTTGAAGACTTACGATCCACGTGAGTGGAACTGAGTGTTCCTCCTTGTGCTTTTCCCTCAGGTTCGCGGACTGGAGTTTAACAAGCACCAGACGATCCACTTTGGGAAAGCGTAGATTCCTGCCCTGTCCTTTGGTTTGGGGGCCTGCTACCGAGGTCCACGGAACATAACAACAACCACCGAGGTGGAAGATCCTGGACCGCTATTTAAAAGTCAGCTGCCTTTGTTCCTGTCACCTGTTCCCAAAAGAAGAACCCTGATTTGTCTTTAAAGGAGAAACTGAAAATCTTTTAAAAACTTGCTAGCCCACTTTTTACCTCGCCACCTCAAGCATATAATTTTGCTCTAGAAGTAGAGGCTTTTTGAACTTCTCTCTCACTATCTGGTGTTGATTACACTGCATAATGACTTTCCGTTTGCCTGGTTTTGGAAGCTTCTCCAAACTTTGGAAGAACAACCCATACCTTGGGTTAGCCTCAGGAAATTCGCATCTCTCTCACTTTCTCATGAACTACTGTGCCATCAAGAACCAACAGAGGTGGTTGTCTCTTACAACCCTGTCTCTACAGAATACCAAAGCAATGGATCTACTGACTGCCAAGACCAGATATTATAGGAAAAACGTTGAAGGAAGTAATAAAGTTTCTTCTGATTCTTCTCATTTTTTTGCTGCTGGAGCAGCTAAGAAGAGAGCACAGATGAATCCTCAGAGTAAAGATCCTATCTCACCCCCTCTGAGGAACACTATTCAACTCCCAACAAAACCTTTGAATTCAGAAGAGTGGGATAAACTTAAGGGAGATTTCAAAGGAAAGGCCAGTTTTGAAAATTGGATCAGCTCACAATTAACTCACTGCCATAGCCCTGTAGATGTGGCCAAATCTCTTCTGGCATGGGTAGCTTCAAAAAACAATGGTATTGTAAGTTATGAATTACTGGTCAAATATTTGTGTCTCTGTGTCTTTCATAAACAGACAACAGAAATTATTGACGTCTATGAAATCATGAAAGCCAGATACAAACGTTTAGAACCAGGGGGTTACACTCTTCTCATCCGAGGATTAATCCATTCAGATAGATGGAGAGAGGCCTTGCTGCTATTAGAAGATATCAAAAAAGTCACGATCCCTTCAAAAAAGAACTACGATGACTGTATCCAGGGAGCTCTCCTTCATCAAGATGTAAATACAGCTTGGAATCTGTACCAGGAATTGCTAGGTCATGATCTTACTCCTATGATGGAAACCTTAAAAGCCTTCTTTGATTTTGGAAAAGGTCTAAAAGACGATCAATATACAAACAAACTACTAGACATTCTTTTGTATCTAAGAAATAATCAGCTATATCCTGGGGAGTCATTTGCACATTGTATAAAAACTTGGTTTGAAAGGTAACTGTGAGTTTTCTTTATGTGTATACTTTTAAGACTTACACCTATAAAAAGTTCCCTTTTTTGATAATTACTGAGAATTATTACTATTCAGATTATGCTTATTTTCCATCTCTTAGTAAGATTTATTTCCACTCCCTTAATAATTTTTTTATACTTTTTGAAAATTTTAAATAGAAAGTACCAGTATAAATAATGTGGATTGGTCTCCACTTATCACATAAAAGGGAAATTTTAGAGCATTTATACTTTGCATATATATATATATTTTTTTTTTTGTATAATGTTGATTCTTAATAGATAGTACTTATAGCCAGAGTTCATAAGGAGTTCTGGTAGCATAGTGGTTACGAATCGGGCTGTGAACCACAAGGTCAGTAGTTTGAAACTACCAGCTGTTCTGCGGGAGAAAGATGAGGCTTTCTGCTCCCGTAAAGATTTACAGACTCGGAAACCCTGTACAGGGTCACTATGAATCGGAACCGACTCTACAGTACTTAACAACAACAACAATAGCCAGAGATCATAGGAAGAAAAAATAATAGTATTTATCTGGAACCATCTCTGGTTCATATTGGTATTTTCAGAAATTACTCTGAAATCTAGAGGCTGGTATAATGTGCTGATATTTTTTCTGTTTCATTTATGCACTTTGTCAATTTTGATGATTAGAATGGACAAGAATTTTGATCAAATCTGATATGCAACTGTTAAAATGGAAAAGTTTCATACTTGTAGTTCCTTTGGATATTTCCATCACTTGGCTACTGCTTGCTCTCCAAGGTCATCTGCAATGTTTTCCCATTTTGTTCTTGTTATTGGTTATATGCCTGTTTATTGCTCCAGTCTATAAGGTCAGCGGTTCGAAACTACCAGCTGCTCCGCGGGAGAAAGATGAGGCTTTCTACTCACGTAAAGGTTTACACCCTCGGAAACCCTGTACAGGGTCGCTATGGGTCGGAACCGACTCAACGGCACATAACAACAACAACATCATTTTTTTACCACTAATCTGCCTAGATTTTTTTTTCTAAAAATGTATTCCTTCCTTCTATTTCTTACTTTTTTTTATGACATACCAAGTTTACAGAGTTTTGAAGTGAAAACTATGCTTAGTTGTCTTTGGGACTAGATAATCATCCAGTCATTTAACACATTTATTGAATATGAATGGAGGAGAAGCCAAATTGTGAAAATCTTTGAATGCCAGAGCATCAAGACTGATGGAGATTGGAAGTAAGATCTGTTGGAAACAGTTGTAGGTTTGGATGACAGGTAATGAGGTCCTGAATTAAGTCACTGGGGAAACAATTGAACCAGTAGGATTTAGTAGTTATGTACGTAAGAAGAAAGAAGAAAGAATGCGTTGGTTGAGCAAATAAATACAAGGGTAGGTAAAAACAAGTATTGCTGCAATATTACAGAAACGTTTATTAAACAAAAAAAAAAAAGTGAAACTACTGATTCTCTACATATCTGGCATCTAGGTCTATATACTTCTACTTACACCACATCAAAATGGCTCTTTTGGCACCCTTGAGGGACTCAAATTGTGTTCCTTTGAAATAGTGTTTGAGTTTTGGGAACAAAAAGTCTGAAAGGGCAAGATCAGGACTACATGGTGACTGGGGTAAGGTTTCACAAGGAAATTGTCATAGGACAGCTCTTGCTACTTTGAAGAATGAACAGAAAACAACTCCTTGGCACAACTTTCCTGGCCTTTTTCTCACCCATGCAGTTTTTAATTTTCTTTAAACTTCTTCACAATATGCCTCCATGATTGTCCTGTATTCTTTGAGAAAATCAGTCAAGATCACCCCTTAGGAATTCAACAAAACAGTTGCTGTATCCTTCTGAAATGACCTTTTGCCATGACTTGAACTGGCCCAGCAAATCCCCTCAGAAGCCACTGTTTTGTTTGGGTCTTTTTTGTGAAGATTCCCTAACTAGACTAAGATAAGCATGTTACTAAGAGAACTTGTTTGTAGCCATTCACTGATCACAGAGATATGTTTAAACACATTTAGTTTGGAATAAATCTATGCATCTATGAACTGAAACCATAGTAGCAATACTTTTTGACCCACCCTCTTATAGAAATAGTTTTTGAATGCCTCCAGTTACACTGGTGGTGGTTATGTGCCATGGAGTTGGTTCCGACTCATAACGACCCTGCATAGGGTTTCCAAGGTTGTAAGTCTTTATGGGAGCAGAAAGCCTCATCTTTCTCCTGCAGAACTGCTGGTAGTTTTGAACTGCTGACCATGAAATTAGCATCCTCATTCGTAACCATTACTCTACCAGAGCTCAGTTCAGTTAGACTACTGGGAACTGAGAATGTTTTCTAAGACCTTTTTGATAGCATTCACAAGCTTACTGGAATACAATACTTGGCAGTTAAACAGTAGTGTATGAGAGGGCTTCAAAAGGTTTGTGGAAAATGGAATTAAAAGATAATGAATTTTTCCATGAACTTTTTGAAGCACCCTTGTATTAGAGGAGAGAAGTTAATTTGGGCTAGAATGATCTCTGGCAGCTTTATGGAGAAGGTTAGAATTGAGTTTGCTTTAAAGGTTACACTCCTAAGGTCAGCTTTCTCTATACAGCACTAGTGAGATAGATTTGGCATCAAAGAAAATGAGGGTAGGGTGACAGGAGGGGAAATACAGAGAAGAATGATATTCAGGGTGGGGTCTCATCAGTTCCTTACTCCCCTCGCAGTAACAACTACTTTCCTAATTAAACCATTTTAGGGATGTGTCTTCAGCTTTTCAGTGCTCCCGCTGATAGAGTTTTAAAATATACTTAATATCTTTTGATGATTTGGTTTTACAATATTTTTTTGTAGTATTCCTGGAGAACAATGGAAAGGAGAATTCACCACAATCCAGAAAAGGTAAAGGTCAATTTTTAGTTTACTTTTAACTTTGTAATTCAACATGAGTAGGCTTCATTGCTTTTGGTTAAAAAACGACATTAAGAACACCTTAGAGACAAAATGGAGCTCTGGTGGGACAACAGTAAAGTGTTCAGCTGCTAACTGTAAGATTGGTGGTTTGAACCCACCCAGCAGCGGCTTCATGGAAGAAAGACCTGGTTATCTGATGGTGTAAGAAGGAGAACCCTGTGGGGCAGTTCTACTCAATCCAATGGACTGGCTGGAAGTCAGAATCAACAATAACAACAACAGGAATAGGATAATTCAGAGTTTGGAATTAGAGAACTTTAGGGAAAAAAGCTATAATTTGTATTAGAGAACAAATTGTATGAAGTACATGTCTCCTGGGGAGAAGTCTTAGAGTTATTTTCTCCTAGAGATACGGGACCCAGTTGACTCAGAAACTTCCCTGAGATGCCCAGCAGTCGGGTTTTGTGGCACATTGATGTGTTATGTTATTATCAGGATTACAAAAATAAAAATCCTATGCATGTGATGATCACAAAGGTTTTAGTGTTCTGTTTAAAAACGTTACCTTTCAGTTTCCTTATGTCGTGGTATTATTCATTTTAGAAAAACTGCCTTTCCAGGGTATTATTTAACATAAACAATTATAATTGCAGTGGCCAGTGTCTGGGCTGTGGAAAAACCACAGAGTCTATTCACCTGACTCTAGAAGAGTATGAATTACTCAAGGAAAACATCATGAGAAATGTGATAGATGGAGGTGACCAATACAAAAAGACGACACCTGAGGTAAGCCTGGTGGTGGTGGTGGTGGCGGCTATGTGCCATGGAGCTGGTTCTGACTCATAGCGACCCTGTATAGGGTTTCTGAAGCTGTAAATCTTTACGGGAGCAGAAAGCCTCATCTTTCTCCCATGGGACTTCTGGTAGTTTTGAACTGCTGACCTTAAGGTTCACAGCTCGACTTATAACCACTATGCTTACCAAAGCTCCTTGAGGTAAGTCTACAACAGGTTTTATTATATTCTCGGTAAACTTTTTCTATAAAATATTTTAGGTTTTGACAACCACACAGCCTGTGTTGAAGCTCTGTTGTTTTATTAAAAACAGCCTAAACAGTATAAATGTAAATGAATGATCGTGGTTGTGTTTCGGTAAGCTGTTTATTTGTAAAAGCAACCAGCCAAGCCATTCTCTGCCAACCATTAGAAGTTCTTTGCTTTAGGATTTTGTAGACTGATTGGGTTAGACTGTCATCCATCTGTTGACATCAATCCTCATACATCTGGGTAAAACTACACTTAAACTAAAAAAAAATTAGATGCATTTTCTTTCTCTCAGTGCTTCCAAAAACTTGCATTCAGTAAACTCCCATGAAAACGTTTTGGTTTCTCACAACTTTTCTAACCAGGGAGTTAAGGGTAATTTAACAAAATTGTGCTTTCTTGGTATTGAATATGAATGCCTGTCAGTTGTTGTTGTTGTGTGCTGTTGAGTTGATTTTAACTCATAGCAAGCCTTTGTAGGGTTTCTGAGATCAGCTGGTGGGTATGAACTGCTGACCTTACAACTTCAGTGCTTATCCTACAGCGCCACACCACTGTCAAGTCATTTGTAGTAGCTTCATTTTGTTAATCTTCAATACTTATGTTGGTTTGCTAAGATTAACTGAGGTAAAATGCTTTACTGTGGTAGTTTTTAGGAAAAGGTTGTCCATTGTTTTTCTGAAAGCTTTTTTTCTCTCAAGGTGTTGGTAGTAGTAGTGTGCTGTTGAGTCAGTTCTGACTTACAGTGACCCTGTATAGGTTTCAAAGGCTGTAAATCTTGATGGATACAGAAAGCCTCATCATTCTTCTGTGGAGCTGCTGGTAGACTGAGCTGCTGACCTTGTGGTTAGCAGCCAAACAAGCAACCCAATAACTATCAGGGTTGTTAAGTGCAGTCGCGTTGGTTCTGACTCATAGCAACCCTGTATAGCATTTCTAAGGGGCGGCGGCAAGTTTGAACTGCCATCCTTGTGGGTCAAACCAACCTTGTGGTCCAGTGCTTATCCTACAGCACCATACCAGAACTCATCTGAAATGAGAAGGGAAGACGTGTTCTGCTTTCTTACTTTCACTTAAAAGTTTCATATTGTATTAAGCCTTTACTTTAGAATAAAGTAAAAATCAGGTTCATAAAAACAGTAGGTCAAAAGCATCCTAGGATACCTTTGAGCTGGCTTTACTGATAAAGTGACAGTTAATATTTTATATCCTTTTCTTATATCTTATTTAATTCTTACAGCCTTACTAAAAGGTATTTTATTTTTATTTTACAGATAATGTAATTCAGGCTTTGGGAGATTAAGTCTGCCCACGGATACCCCACTAGTAAAATCTAGGAAGGAAGCAATGTTAAGTGAAAGCTCAATGATTAGGAGACAGTGGGGATAAAAGTGGACTGGGAGTTCATTGAGGTTGAAGAAAGATTGTGAAGGAGTTAGAGTGGAAATCTTTCAATCAGTGTTTCACTAGAGCTTAGATTTCAGCGATAGAGTACTCTGGAGGGATGACAAAGCCTAAGGTATGAGAGATGAGCAGATGAGGGAACTGAAAGCATAAAGTGCCAGGTGGTAACCCACAGAGAAATTGAGAGTGCCCATTGTTGTTGTTGTTGTTGTTAGGTGCCATCTAGTCAGCACCGACTCTTAGCGACCCTATACACAACAGAACGAAACACTACCTGATCCTAAGCCAACCTCACTACTGTTGCCACGCTTGAGACCACTGATGCTGCCACTTGGCCAATCCATCTCGTTGGGGGTCTTCCTCTTTTTCTCTGACTCTCCACCTTACCAAACACGATATTCCTCTCCAGCGACTGGCTCCTTCTGACAATATGTCTGAAGTATGAGAGACGAAGTTTGGCCATCTTGGCTTCCAAGGAGCACTCTGGCTGCACTTCTTCCAAAATGGATCTATTGGTCCTTTTGGCAGCCCATGGCACATTCAATATTCTCCTCCAACATCACAACGTAAAAGCATCAATTCTTTTTTTTTCGGCTGTAGAATTAATTTTAATCAACTTATAGAAAAGACAAATACATCATTTTTTTACATAATCGCCTTGCTTTTCAATACACTTTGTCCATCTGTCAACAAGTTTTCATATTCCCTTATTTTAAAATGTTTTAGGCTGAGCTGCAAGCCACAAATGCACAACTGCTTTCACTTCTTCATCAGTGGTGAATCTTCATCCTCAAAGGGCTGCTTTCAGGGGACCGAACAGGTGAAAGTCCAATCTAGCAAGATCAAGACTCTAGGGTCCCGTTCTCTGTTCTTCTCCCTTGATGGTCCTAGGGACCTCTGCTCCTAGACTGCAAACTTAATCACTCCTCTCCTTGCTACAAAACGTCTACCTTTATATTTCCCGCCCTCACAATCAGTCCTGGTAACAATTGTTCACTATTGTATCACAAGAAACCTATCCGCATTTCCTTTCATCAGCCCCACCTAGATAGATTTGATACTACTCAGTGGAGATTCTACCTTCCTCCACACCCTCTGGATCTAGGTTCCCTCTTGAAAGCTTATAAGCCAGTCACTTCTTGCCTTTGTAGCGCCCCCTCCTCCCCCCCAATTTGGGTAGCCAATGTCCAGGTTGCCCATCCTTGTCTACTCTGTAAAGCATCAATTCTTCTATGGTCTTCCAGTCTTCCTTATTCACTGTCCATATTTCGCATCCATATGAGGTTATTGAAAATACCATGGCTTGGGTCAGGTGCACCTTAGTCCTCAAGCTGACATCTTTGCTCTTCAGCACTTTAAAGAGTGCCCATAGGATAACTTAAAAAATTATCATAATTACACATTTATGGAATGCTTACTATGTGCCAGGCGCTGTGTTTTGCCTCTTAGGGTGGTGATGAAGACTGAGAGTCAGGTACCAAATTCTTGATAAATGTGGAGATGCCTTCGAAGACAGAGGGTGATAGTAAAGAGGAAGATTATAAATGGTATAGATAAGGGGTTGATTGACTACAGTTTATAGGTAAATTACAGCCCACCAGCTGAGTTTGTAATAAAACTGTTTTGGCACACAGCCATACTCATTCATATATGTATAATCTCTGGCTGCTTTTCTCCTACAGAGTTCAGTAGGTAACCTACAAAGCCTAAAATATTTACCAGCTGGCCCTTTTCAGAAAAACTATGCCGATGAGTGACATAGATGAATATCAAAAGCCTCTACTGAGTTTAGGGAGTGGAGGTGGAGAAATAGACTTTGAGGGAGGAATAGTAGGTGCTAGGAGAGGGATACTCCCTCCCTACTCCTCTGTTCTGTAGCATGCTGTGGGTGAAGAGCAGCTCCTACTTAAGGAGCAAGGTCATAGATGCTGGGGAGCCACCGAAGCATTTGAAGCATGTGGATTTTAGAGAGCTCTCTCTGGCAGTTGGGTGGAAAAAGGAGTTGGAGACAGAGCTGTCCTATGAGAAATTCATTGAGAATCTTGCCCCATCTATTCCATAGCCCTGATCTTGCCCCTTTGGGCTTCTTTTATTTTCCCAAACTCAAAGGCCATTGCAAAGGAACACAACTTGAGTCCCTTGAGGATGCCAAAACTGCTGTTTTGACGTAGTGGAAATGAAAGAGCACGAGATTCTCTGGGGAGGGTTGGGAGGGGTGAAAACACCACCTTCAGAAGTACACAGATCCAGATGGGTCATATGTTGAGAAATAGTTTCACATTTTGTTATTTTTGTTTAATAAAGGTTTTTGTGATTTTATAGCATAATTTTGACTTACCCGTGTATAAAATAACCAAATCCAGTGCCATCAAGTCGATTCTGACTCACAGTGACCCAATAAGACAGAATAGAACAGCTCCATAGGGTTTCTAAGGCAGCAAAATCTTCATGGAAACAAACTGCCTTGGCTTTCTCTGGTGGAGCATCTGGTGGGTTTGAACTGATGACCTTTTGGTTAGCAGTCCAATGCTTATCCCATTGTACCACTGGGACTCCTCTATTTTCATATGGTGGTGGTGGTGTGCCAGGGAGTCAGTTCTGACTCATAGCAACCCTCCATAGGGTTCCTGAGGGTGTAAATGTTTATGGGAGCAGAAAGCCTCATCTTTCTCCTACAGAACAACTGGTAGTTTCATACTGCATACCTTGAGGTTAGCAGACTTACTGGTAACCAATACACTATCAGAACTCCTTTATCTTCATATGCTGTTTTGTTAAGTGCTGTCGAGTTGATTCCAACCCATAACGGCCCTGTATAGGGTTTCCAAGGAGCAGCTAGGGGCCAAAGCCAGAAAGGTTATAGCAGCTGAGTGAGCACACATGGAGTATAAATTTTTCTGATGAAAATAAGAAGATAGAAGATAGTGGTGGCTAGTAGATGGTAGAGAGCAAAGGATTGTTTGGGGAGATGGAAGAGACTTGTGTATATTCATATTTTGAATGAAGGGTGTAGGTAGAGATAAAAAGTATTGAATAAACTAGAGAAGTAGGAAAGAGGATTATGGATGAACACACTTTAAGAGAAAGTGAGAGGGGTTGACAGAAAGAGCATAAATGAGGGCATCAGAAGTGAGGGGAACCTCATTTGAGACTGTAGGGGAGAAAGGAAGGATGGTTGTGGAGATAAATAAGTAGAAGAAAGGAAGGTTGAAGAAAATGATGCCTGCTCTGGTAAATGTTTGATACTGAAGGAGGAAGTGCAAGGTCCATTGAAGGAATTGGCAAAGAACAAGGCAGCAGGAATTGATGGTATAAAAATTGAAATCTTTCAAGAAAGTG